TTCACTGTTAGTCTTCACCTGTTAACCCTCTCTCATCATTGTTGGGAACGTCTTCACTGTTAGTCTACACCTGTTAACTCTCATCATTGTTGGGAATGTTTTCACTGTTAGTCTACACCTGTTGTTAACTCTCTCTCATCATTGTTGGGAACGTTTTCACTGTTAGTCTACACCTGTTGTTAACTCTCATCATTGTTGGGAACGTTTTCACTGTTAGTCTACACCTGTTGTTAACTCTCTCATCATTGTTGGGAACGTTTTCACTGTTAGTCTACACCTGTTGTTTACTCTCTCTCATCATTGTTGGGAACGTTTTCACTGTTAGTCTACACCTGTTGTTTACTCTCTCTCATCATTGTTGGGAACGTTTTCACTGTTAGTCTACACCTGTTGTTTACTCTCTCTCATCATTGTTGGGAACGTTTTCACTGTTAGTCTACACCTGTTGTTTACTCTCTCTCATCATTGTTGGGAACGTTTTCACTGTTAGTCTACACCTGTTGTTAACTCTCTCTCATCATTGTTGGGAACGTTTTCACTGTTAGTCTACACCTGTTGTTAACTCTCTCTCATCATTGTTGGGAACGTTTTCACTGTTAGTCTACACCTGTTATTAACTCTCTCTCATCATTGTTGGGAACGTTTTCACTGTTAGTCTACACCTGTTGTTAACTCTCTCTCATCATTGTTGGGAACGTTTTCACTGTTAGTCTACACCTGTTGTTAACTCTCTCATCATTGTTGGGAACGTTTTCACTGTTAGTCTACACCTGTTGTTAACTCTCTCTCATCATTGTTGGGAACGGCCAGTCAGTAAGCATTTCACTGTTAGTCTACACCTGTTGTTAACTCTCTCTCATCATTGTTGGGAACGTTTTCACTGTTAGTCTACACCTGTTGTTAACTCTCTCTCATCATTGTTGGGAACGTTTTCACTGTTAGTCTACACCTGTTGTTAACTCTCTCTCATCATTGTTGGGAACGGCCCGTCAGTAAGCATTTCACTGTTAGTCTACACCTGTTGTTTACTCTCTCTCATCATTGTTGGGAACGGCCCGTCAGTCAGCATTTCACTGTTCATCTACACCTGTTGTTAACTCTCTCTCATCATTGTTGGGAACGGCCCATCAGTCAGCATTTCACTGTTAGTCTACACCTGTTGTTTACTCTCTCTCATCATTGTTGGGAACGGCCCGTCAGTAAGCATTTCACTGTTCGTCTACACCTGTTGTTTACTCTCTCTCATCATTGTTGGGAACGGCCCGTCAGTCAGCATTTCACTGTTCGTCTACACCTGTTGTTTACTCTCTCTCATCATTGTTGGGAACGGTCCTTCAGTCAGCATTTCACTGTTAGTCTACACCTGTTGTTTACTCTCTCTCATCATTGTTGGGAACGGCCCGTCAGTAAGCATTTCACTGTTAGTCTACACCTGTTGTGTACGAAGCATGTGGCAAATACAATGTGATTGATTTGATCAGGAGAGGCCTACTTCACTAACTCCTCAGCCCTGTTCTGTTGAACTGATCACTGATACTAGTCTAGGGCAGGGGTTCCCATCCTTTCTTCTCCAGGGCCCCCCTTTACACATTTGAAATATTACACAGGTTCACCTTGTGCTGGGGACAATAAAAGGCCTATCTAAAATGTGCAGTTTTCACAATGCCACAGATGTCTGTGTAGCTCAGTTGGTAGAGCATGGCTCTTGCAACGCCAGGGTTGTGGGTTCGTTTCCCACGGGGGGCCAGTACGAAAAAAATGTATGCACTCTAACTGTAAGTCGCTCTGGATAAGAGCGTCTGCTAAATGACTAAAATGTAAATGTCAATTGGCATGCTGACTGCAGGAATGTCCACCAGAGCCGTTGCCAGAGAATTTTATGTTAATTTCTCTACCATAAGCCGCATACAACATTGTTTAACAGAATTTGGCAGTACATCCAACCGGCCTCACAACCACATATCCTGAGGCTGCATTTATTGTAGCCGGGGATTTTAACAAAGCAAATTTGAGGACTAGGCTGCCGAAGTTCTATCAACATGTCGACTGACCGTGTACTCAGAGCATGCGCAGACCAACTGGCTGGTGTGTTTACGAACATATTCAATCTCTCCCTATCCCAGTCTGCTGTCCCCACGTTTCAAGATGGCCACCATTGTTCCTGTACCCAAGAAAGCAAAGGTAACTGAACTAAATGACTATCGCCCCGTAGCACTCACCTCTGTCATCATGAAGTGCTTTGAGAGACTAGTCAAGGATCATATCACCTCCACCTTACCTGTCACCCTAGACCCACTTCAATTTGCTTACCGCCCCAATAGATCCACAGACGATGCAATCGCCATCACACTGCCCTATCCCATCTGGACAAGAGGAATACCTATGTAAGAATGCTGTTCATTGACTATAGCTCAGTATTCAACACCATAGTACCCTCCAAGCTCCTCATTAAGCACGAGGGCCTGGGTCTGAAACCCGCCCTGTGCAACTGGGTCCTGGATGTCCTGACGGGCCGCCCCCAGGTGGTGAAGGTAGAAAACAACATCTCCACTTCGCTGATCGAAATTTGGCTTGGCACCTAAAACCCTCACAAACTTTTACAGATGCACAATCGAGAGCATCCTGTTGGGCTGTATCACCGCCTGGTACAGCAACTGCACCGCCCACAACCGCAGGGCTCTCCAGAGGGTGGTGCGGTCTGCCGAACGCATTACCGGGGCAAACTACGCGCCCTCCAAGACACCTACAGCACCCGATGTCACAGGAAGGCCAAAAGAGCCACTGCCTGTTCACCCCGCTATCATCCAGATGGTGAGGTCAGTACAGGTGCGTCAAAGCTGGGACCGAGAGAATGAAAAACAGCTTCTATCTCAAGGCCATCAGACTGTTAAATAGCAATCACTAGCACATTAGAGCCTGCTGCTGCCTTTTGAAATCCCTGGCCACTTTAAGAAATGGAACACTAGTCACGTTAATAATGTTAAAATATCTTGCATTACTCATCTCATATGTATATACTGTATTCTATAATATCTTAGTCCATGGCGCTCTGTCATTGCTCGTCCATAAATGTATATATTCTTAATTCCATTCCATCCTTAGATGTGTGTATTAGGTATATGTTGTGAAATTGTTAGATATTACTTGTTAGATATTACTGCACTGTCGGAACTAGAAGTGCAAGCATTTCGCTACACCCGCAATCATCTGCTAAACACGTGTATGTGGCAAATAAAATTTGATTTGATTTTAACCGCAGACCACGTGTAACCACGCTAGCCCAGGATCTCCACATCCGTCTTCTTCAGCTACGGGATCATTGAGACAAGCCAACCAGACAGTTGATGAAACTGAGGAGTATTTATGTCTGTAATAAAGCCCTTTTGTGGGGAAAAACTCATTCTGATTGGCTGGGCCTGGCTCCCAAGTGGGAGGGCCTATGCCCACCCAGGCCCACCCATGGCTGCACCCATGCCCAGTCATGTGAAATCCATAGTTTAGGGTCTAATGAATGTGTTTCAATTCACTGATTTCCTTATATGAACTGAAACTCAGTAAAATTGTTGAAATTGTTGCGTTTATATTCTTATTCAGTATATATTTTTTTTAAGGACCCTTCAAATCAAGAAAGGTCCGCGCGCCAGGGTTTGGAACCGGTTCAGGGAACAGAACCAGAAAATAACCACATTTTTTGAAGGAACAGAACCCAGAACGAAAGTGATCCATACTTTTCCGGAACAGAACCGTTATTTTAAAAGCATGGGAACCGGTTAATAACGTTATTTTACGTTCTGGGCAATTTTCTTTCCAGTCCCACAAAAACAAAACAAAAACAGAACAAAGCGCCTATGCAAAGCCCTCGCTGTCAATCAGAAACGTATTCCAGTGTCTGCCTGTCTGCCTGCTCAACATCTTTATGTGTGTTTGGGCTACATGACCCTCCCCCCGAAGCATGCATAGTCTACAGTAGCTACTGTCGTTACAGGAGTGATACAGAAACTAGGGAGAGAGATGTTTAATTAGAGAACAATTCTTAACTTTTTCAGTGCTAGTTAAGGATACTACAGTTATCATGTTTCACATCAGATTTATTAACTACAAAAAAGGTAAGACGTGTTTTTGTTTTAATTCTGGTGCCGCTAGCTCTGGCCTAGCTCTTGAAAACTCTAGGCGACATCGTGTGTAATGTAATGGAACTGAGAGTCATGATCAAGGGCAAGCTCTGGGCCAACGTTAGTTAAGCCAACTCTCTGGAGTTCAAAGACATTCAAAGTTCCTTCATAGAAGCCGCTCCTCCGTAGGTATAATTATGTGGGCCTAATTCAGATAATGCACGTCATAACAACAAGGTGCCCAGCGCTTCGGCCTCACCCGCAAAATTTCAATTGCATGCCGTACACTACACTTGTCTGTACAATGCTTTTACATAGGTTGCCCGCTCCATAACAAGCTGCTCTATCCATTGAAGTAATTTCATGTAGAGCGAAATGTTTTTTTTTTTAGATGATTTTAAAAGGTTTAAAAAGGAACAGAAGGGAATGACAAACTAACTTTTTTGGGGGTTCGAACCAGTTCAGAACTTTATTTTGCTGGTCGGAACAGTGGAATGGAAATAAATAAATAAATAATGGTTCTGTTCAGAACTAAACGATTGTTATCCATTTATCTCTTATACAAATAGTTTGAGATAAAGGAAGTTCATGGTGAAGTGTTACTCTGGATGAAATTCCTTACCATAGAGTACAAAAAAAATTAAATTAAAAATAGACTCAATATACTATTAAAAAGAAGGTAAATACCAGTACATAAATTCCAGTTAAAAGAAAGTTGTTGGAACTCCTACCACACTGTTGGTTCATGTCATCGTCACTTGTCACTCAAGGTGGGAGGGCGGGGGACAGGGTGAGATTGGCGGGGGACAGGGTGGGGACAAAAGATGGGGGGACCCTTGAGAAACAAGTTGACCAATTCTCTCCTTTCTATCTCTGAGTACAACATACCTGTCCATAGTTGTCTATCCCAGACACTAATCTATTGAGATTGAGCAAATCAAAAGCGGTCCTCAAAGACTGGCCAATAGTTGTGAGTCCTGCTGCTTGAAGGTTCCTCAACTCCATCATGAATGTGGCATGGCTCTCTTTCCATCCAGCCTTTTGAAATAGGGAAAGAGACACTTTTGTCATCAACAACACGCATGCAACAAGATAGGCCTTATATTATATATTTTGTCTGACACAACATTGATGGATTTCTAGGATCAGGTCATCAATACACTTTTACAATGTAATTGCCTTGATAAACATATCAAAGAATGTAATTTCCTTTTTTCCCCCTTTCTTTAAATTTGCCATAAACATTGTCAACAGATTTACAACTTATTCCTTGCTACTCTATCATATTAACCATAATAAGCTGTTCAGACAAAATGGTAAACTAGTAAGACAAAGTGAGTTCTCCGCTGGCAAGTTAGCAGCAACCCCTCTCTCCAAGTTGACCCCACCTCGCTAAGCAGCTATCTAGATGTATAAATATCACCCAGACTTCCATGCTGTTCACCCTGAAACAAAATGTCGGCCATGTTTTAAAGTGGGTATGAAAGCTCCGTCTTAAGATTTCACACAATTGATATGGTGATCGGAATGTGAGAAGACAAGCGGGATAACTGTGTAATGTAAAGCAGGACATTACCGAAAATAAACTGTACCTTTATTCCGAGGGGAACATCTTCAAGATTTATCAACATATACCTGTCCCCTCGGCTAGCAGGATCTCTGCCTCTGAGCTGTGGAAAGAATAATAAACGGTTATCGAGTGATTATTTTGTCATGGTTAGTTAGCAACTTTACCACAAGATTATCGGGTCTTGTGGGGCGGTTCGTCTCGGGGTTACAATACCTTCATGAAAGTCTCAACAGCGCCTTTCGCTATGTCCAGATAGGTAGTGCCCAGGTGGGTGCGCTGGTTCATTGACGCGGACGTGTCTATCAGAAAAAGTAACACGGGCATTGTGTTGGTGATGACACGTTCTGCATGGACTTGGTGTCAGTGAAAACCGGTCAAAACTGAAAAAAATAATATATTGTTGTCCTGCCCGCCTCAGTTAGCTTGCTAACTAAACTGCCTCACACATCTTTAAAAAATAAGTCAGAATAGTGTGTGATACCTTTCTTCAATAAACGGAAATAAATCTAAAAACCCTTGGGGCATACTATTAGGTTTAAGAGGGAATATGAGCCGTTTTATGTTATTTTGTCAATAGTCCTAAGTTTCCAGTCACATCTCGACCCTGCACTGAGCACTCTGTCTGCTCCACTGGTTTTAGAGCGCTCCGCACTTCACACCGCCTTCCGGTCTTTCAGCGTCACGTGGCAACACATTCCGCTACTGATTGGCTCTTTGAAGTTGCTAATTACCATCTTCAAATAAGGTAATGGCCATAAGATCTGTCTGCGCGTCAGTGTTGCCATGTTCGTGGTTTTCACAAAAAAATTGGGCTACTTTGAAAACGCTGTCGCGGGTGAACATTTATTTGTCGCGAGTTGCGGGCTTTGGTGCTATTTCTAAGTTGCACCGCGGCCGCCATGGCATTTCTCTTTAAAAAAAAAATATATATATCACTGTGACCAGCTGCTGACTGTCAGGCAGTGAGGCAGGCTGTTGCTGAGTGGGTGACTGTGTGTCTGTGTGTGTGTGTGTTGGTGTGTGTGTGTGTGTTGGTGTGTGTGTGTGTGTGTGTGTGTGTGTGTGTGTGTGTGTGTGTGTGTGTGTGTGTGTGTGTGTGTGTGTGTGTGTGTGTGTGTTGAAAGAGGAGTACAGTTATTGTCTGAGTCACGTGAGCGAGAGGAGCGATAGCAGCATGCGCGCACGTTGTGATAACTTTTTACCAGTTGTAGGTAGGCTATTTAGATTGTCATAATGGAGACACCTATTTCCAACCCATTGTTCATAAAACATATTAATACGGTAGAGCTGATGCACATCAAGAAATAATGGAGACAAAGCACTGGAAAACGACTTTGGGTGCACTAGAGCGCATTACATAAATTCGCTCGGAGGTGGTTTAAACTGCATTCTAATGTTGACTGCTTAAAGAAAACGGTATCAAGCGAAGTGCTTTATGCATGCTCAGTTGTTGGGTCTCGGGGGCTGCCCGAGTGGAAATTTGAAATGGAATTTATGGAACTCCCTCGTGTGGTTCTTTTTATGGGGAAAAGTCCTCAATGAAACTGACATTAGGCTAAATATGAAGAATGATACATTTGCCTCTGTTGGCCATCAAGTAGCCTATTAATGTATATGCCATTTTAGGCTACCATTTGATACAATAAATATGTTGAAATGACGATATCACTGGAGTCATTGCAAATCAATTTGTTCCACTTGTGTAGCCTACCTGGAGCTGGCAAACCCATTTAATAAGTAGCCTATAACTTCAGTTTGTTGTTGTAGCCTTATGTTATTATGCAATTATTAATGAACATGTTTAGTTAATTCAATTGGAAATTATCAAAGCTCTATCGTAATTTCCGAACCAGGTGTATACGTGTAAATAAATCCCCTTTGTGCATGTGTATAACTATAGATACATCCGACAGGAGAGTTTGAGTGATGAAAGTTGGACAGAGGATCTCGAAATCTCAGAGCAAGAAAAACTTGGATGAACGTAAAAGAACGAATGTTAGGCTATTTTCTGGCAATTGTTCTGTTATTGTGTGCCAAATGTTAAGACTACAAATGGCCCATTTGCGAGATTGATTTATAATTTCAATAGGCATAGGCTACACACTAAAATCGGGGTTTATGATTGTAATTCAATTTTGACATGGTTTGCTTAGATAAAGGAAAGAAGCCTATAGCCCCTGATAGGCCTACGTCTCATTTCAGAGACTCCACAGTAGCCTGGACAAGATGTAGGCAATGTAGGTCAACTGAACGATTTAGCAGCTTGCTTAGTTCAAAAATGTTTTAGCTTGACCTGGCAACCATGCTGCACATGCTCGACAAGAAGATTGGAACGCAATAAAAACGGGTCAGTGCTATCCGGGTCCCTACCATTGTGTTGGAGGGGTACATGTTGACACCGTTGTGTTGGAGGGGTACATGTTGACACCGTTGTGTTGGCAGGGTACATATTGACACCATTGTGTTGGAGGGGTACATGTTGACACCGTTGTGTTGGAGGGGTACATGTTGACACCGTTGTGTTGGCAGGGTACATATTGACACCATTGTGTTGGAGGGGTACATGTTGACACCGTTGTGTTGGAGGGGTACATGTTGACACCGTTGTGTTGGCAGGGTACATATTGACACCATTGTGTTGGAGGGGTACATATTGACACCATTGTGTTGGAGGGGTACATAGTGTGTAAAATTTTTAGGTGCACCTCTCTTATCTTATTAGAAATACAACATTTAAAGGGACAAAGCATAAGCCTTTCACCATTGAATGTCTGATGGTTGTGAATTCCAAAGGGATTTCCCTCATGGTGTGATTTTTATTTAGCTATAAAAATATTATCTGATATGTTTATTTGTAAACGTGGTACTTTTGATATAAATACCATTCATAAATATTATATTCTAAGTGTATCTTGAAAAGACATATGACTTTTCATTAGCTGGTAAATACCTGAGGGTATAGCATTAACCACACAGCGATATTCTTTGTATGCAACAGGAAAGGCTTTGACACTTAAAAAGACCCCCATAACTTAACATTTGGCCACCATTATCAAACATGTCACCTAAAAAAGATTATATTTTTGTCTATCCAATGTTGCATAAAAATTATTGTGTTTTTAATAGTGATATTACCAGTATTTCACAGAATAGCTTTGAGGCGAAAAGTCATGCACAAAACATAATTTCCTTGCCATAAGGGCTCGCTGATAAAATTTGATAATTTAAGTGGCAGTTTGGTTATGTTGTAATTACAAGACAACAAGAATTGTAAAACCCCCAATTTTCTTAAAAATATTATGAGGAATAAAGATCCATAAAGATTCCGGAGATTCAATGCATTTTTTTAACCACTTAATCTTAAAGGTATTATTCATATCCATAAAATCCAATAACTCAAAACCTAATTCTGCCCTAGTTGCAGAGAGAACTTCCTTTTTAAGGTGGTGATGTTTGTTTTAAATAAATTCATTATTAATCTCCTTACATGTGGATTCAAAAAGAGATAGAGCTGGATAAAGTACCCTCAGCCTTCATTAATAGAACCATTCCTAAAATATAAATATCTCTTTTGAAGCCACATATTCAAGATTGTTTTGGTATTTTTTAATTTTGGGGGAGAAATTAAGTTGTTGTCTAACCGGATAATTCTTAGGTATTTAACACATTTTCTTTCACTGGAATGTCATACAATAAAGTTTTGTCAGTGTTATATAAACATAACATGTCAGACATTGACAAATTAAGTTTAATTAACGATTGATCAACTGCACCGCATGCTCAATTTGAAATGTAATCTATCTCTAAGAAACAATGCTGTGTCACCAGCCAGTTAAGTCATTCTTATTTCTCTGTTACATATTGATAACCCTTGAATGTCTGGACTATTCAGGATAGTCAAAGATAATTGTTTAAACACTATTTAAAAAAGACATTGAGAAATAGGACACCCTTGACACACCTCTCAGTACTGAAAATCTTTTTTGAAGTATTTGGATAGAGAATAACACTACTATTAATATCTTTATTAAAACATTGCTACAGTAGAAATACAATGATCTACAAAACTAAAGACCTGAAGTAGGAATGTATGTTTTATTCTATCAAATGCCTTTATAGAAGTCAAACTCCACATTGTCTGAATAGTCTATAAGGGCCAAAATCAATCTGATATTAGAACTAATATGGTGATTGGCCATAAAGCCAGTTTGAGTCTCATTTATAATATCCTTAAGATATTTTTTCCAAACGTTTAGCATATTACATGAGTGATTACTTTGTAATCTACATTTAAAAGTTATAGGTCTCCAATTTTCAATAGATACATTCTTATCTGGTTTGGGTAGTAAAGTAATCAAACCTTGTTTCATTTTAGTAGACATTTCCTTTCTATCCATACATTCTTTAAACATTTCTGATAAAGGAGTTTCAAAAATGTTCCAGAAACAAACATCAAATTCAACTGAAAGTCTGTCAATACCTTTTTTCATTGAAAGGATTGCTTCAGAGATCTCACAACTCAAGATATCTATCTCACAGTTTGATTTGAATTGTTCTGAAACTGTTGGAGGAAAGCCCTTTACCTGTTCAATAAACCTATCACAATCCTTGAGATTGAAATTTGAATTGTAAACATTTCCATAAAATGAGTTGCTATTTCTATAGGATAAGTTTTAAGATTGTCATTTAATTTAACATCAGACATATTGTTTATTTTCCAATTCCTTTTTTCTAAGTAAAAAAAGTAACTAGTATTATTTTCACCTTCTTCCAGCCATTTGGCTCTTGATCTTATAAAGGCACCATAGCCATGTCAACATACATCTTATCAATTTCTGTTGTAAACTTCTCAAAGGAAAAATCCACCTCAAACCACCCATTCCTTTAACTTACAGTGTTAAATTACACTAATATGTGAGAACAATATTTTTTGGGGCATTATAATAAGGTTGGTAGCAACATGGAAAATCGTTGTGGAAATCTGTTGCAGCTCAAGTCCTCTGTAGATCAGCTGGTAGAGCACGGCGCTTGTAACGCCAAGGTAGTGGGTTCGATCCCCGGGACCACCCATACACAAAAAAAAATGTATGCACGCATGATTGTAAGTCGCTTTGGATAAAAGCGTCTGCTAAATGGCATATTATTATTATTATTATTATTAAGTCCACTAGAAAATCCTCAATGCAATGCTCTCGCCATGGGCTGGCTGGCTAGCTAGCTAGGTAGGTAGCTATCAATCAAACGTAGCTACACACAATAACAGGAGGTTGGTGGCACCTTTAATTGGTGAGAACGGGCTCGGATTAATAACTGGAGCGGAATCGGTGGAATGGTGTCAAATACATCAAACACATCGTTTTTCCAAGTGTTTGATGCCATTCAATTTGCTCCGTTCCGTCCATTGGTAAAGGTGCGTTCGTAAATTCGCTCTGGCTAACTACTCCGATTTCAGAGCACTCTCGTCCCGAGTGTGCCAGAGCGCAGAATAATTTATGAATTTACGAACGTTCATCCCAATGGAATATGGCCGGTATCGGTAAACGTCAGCAAAAAAAAGCGTCATTAAATTGTTGCCAGAAGCACAGTTACAGTCACCAACGCTCTGGATAACATAAAAAAAACAGCATACCCAGCTCTGCTAGGGCGAGTAAAACGGTCAGAGTGAGATGTTCTGTCATTTGTGTCTGGAAGTGGCTAGCAAGCTAGCCAACGTTAGCCAGTTAGCTTGGGTGCTTGACTACCGTTGTTGGGTCAGAACGCTCTTGGGCTCCAAGAGCGAAACGCTCTGAATTTACGAACGGAAAATCTTGGCAACGCTTTGAATTTACGAACGGACAATCTGGCAACGCTCTGAATTTACGAACGGACAATCTTGGCAACGCTCTGAATTTACGAACGGACAATCTTGGCAACGCTCTGAATTTACGAACGCCCAGAGCGCACTCTGACACTCCTGATTGAATTTACGAACACACCCTACCAGACATTCTCCCCTCAGCAACCTCCGGTGCCAGAGGCGCAATATCGAGAGACTTCCAGGAACAGTTGCCAAACAGACCAGGCCCGGGTTTGAGAAGTCAATGATAGAACTGAAACATTCTCCATTACCGTAGTTCTTAATGTTATTACTCCAACCTCCGTGAAAGAGACGTTTTCAAAACTGTTGCCCGCCTACAGGGCAAATATCGGACCGCTAGTATAGGACTAGTAAAGGATCAATGCACTACTTTTGTCAAGAAAAACAAAACAAATATTTGTTCAGATTTTTCAGGGGTTGCTGCAACACCCTACTTCGGCTTTATACTTTCTGAAAATGGCTAGCTTCTAGCTAATAAATCAATGTTGTTTTCCCTACCCTCAAGGAAACATCCCACCACATTGGCCTGAATACAGAACCACAGACTGTAAGAGAAAGGACACAGCCCAGCGAGTTAGCAGAACCACAGACTGTAAGAGAAAGGACACAGCCCAGCGAGTTAGCAGAACCACAGACTGTAAGAGAAAGGACACAGCCCAGCGAGTTAGCAGAACCACAGACTGTAAGAGAAAGGACACAGCCCAGCGAGTTAGCAGAACCACAGACTGTAAGAGAAAGGACACAGCCCAGCGAGTTAGCAGAACCACAGACTGTAAGAGAAAGGACACAGCCCAGCGAGTTAGCAGAACCACAGACTGTAAGAGAAAGGACACAGCCCAGCGAGTTAGCAGAACCACAGACTGTAAGAGAAAGGACACAGCCCAGCGAGTTAGCAGAACCACAGACTGTAAGAGAAAGGACACAGCCCAGCGAGTTAGCAGAACCACAGACTGTAAGAGAAAGGACACAGCCCAGCGAGTTAGCAGAACCACAGACTGTAAGAGAAAGGACACAGCCCAGCGAGTTAGCAGAACCACAGACTGTAAGAGAAAGGACACAGCCCAGCGAGTTAGCAGAACCACAGACTGTAAGAGAAAGGACACAGCCCAGCGAGTTAGCAGAACCACAGACTGTAAGAGAAAGGACACAGCCCAGCGAGTTAGCAGAACCACAGACTGTAAGAGAAAGGACACAGCCCAGCGAGTTAGCAGAACCACAGACTGTAAGAGAAAGGACACAGCCCAGCGAGTTAGCAGAACCACAGACTGTAAGAGAAAGGACACAGCCCAGCGAGTTAGCAGAACCACAGACTGTAAGAGAAAGGACACAGCCCAGCGAGTTAGCAGAACCACAGACTGTAAGAGAAAGGACACAGCCCAGCGAGTTAGCAGAACCACAGACTGTAAGAGAAAGGACACAGCCCAGCGAGTTAGCAGAACCACAGACTGTAAGAGAAAGGACACAGCCCAGCGAGTTAGCAGAACCACAGACTGTAAGAGAAAGGACACAGCCCAGCGAGTTAGCAGAACCACAGACTGTAAGAGAAAGGACACAGCCCAGCGAGTTAGCAGAACCACAGACTGTAAGAGAAAGGACACAGCCCAGCGAGTTAGCAGAACCACAGACTGTAAGAGAAAGGACACAGCCCAGCGAGTTAGCAGAACCACAGACTGTAAGAGAAAGGACACAGCCCAGCGAGTTAGCAGAACCACAGACTGTAAGAGAAAGGACACAGCCCAGCGAGTTAGCAGAACCACAGACTGTAAGAGAAAGGACACAGCCCAGCGAGTTAGGTGACGAACTAACGCGCCATTTCCGACAGAATTTGAAAACTTGAGGCGCATCTTCAACTTCGCTAGTTTCTCTGGTGTCTCGCTGTTCCAAGGTTTTGTACAATCGGTGGTCCTTAGGTTTAGTATGGAATTCCAAGGTGGGTAACTAATCATATTTTCCTCAATCCAGCAAGCTAAACAGATACAGAATACTGCTAGCTAACGACGTTAGCATTATCACATGAGTTATCTAACTGTAGCGCTTACAGTACAGTGTTGACTTTGAGTTTCGCTGTGAACGTATTACAAGGTAGCTAACGTTAGTTAACATTCAGAGAATGTCAACAAAAGCAATCGTTGGTGGGCAAAGTTAGCTAGTGAAGCTAACCAACTAGCTAGCTAACACGTTTGGCATGGTGACTGGTCAGTTAGCTAAATTAGCTAGCTAGCTATTGTTGTAATGTTTATAGCTAGCTAGCTAAGTCAGCTACTAGCCAGATAGTAACTTTGATGATTAGCTAAAAGAAGAGTTTTGAAATCAGCAGCTGAACGATTTTGCTAACAATGTGGAGGAATGCTAGGCTATAGACTAACAAAAGAGCCATAGCTAGGTACCTGTGTACTAACAACTAGCTAGCTTACTTATTCATTAACTTCGCTAACTAACGTTATCTGGCCCTAGGCACGGAACTAATGACTCTGGGTTCCCCAACATCACCCAAGCCCGGCCCGGGTGCCCAGTTTCTCCCCGGATTTTTGATGGGGGATCTGCCGGCACCTGTCACACCCCAGCCTCGGTCATTTGGGGTCATGGATATGAGGTCACCACTTCAAACAGGTGAGTGATAGTTTACTTTTGGGGGTCATTTGTTGTTCACTAAAACAAATAACTAGCTAGTTGACTTTACAGTCTGTCATATCTAATTATCTAACATCCCTTTCATAGCGTGATAGGCCTAACTTGGTTTAAAACACCTGCTTATTGGTTACTATCAAAGATCTGTTACTTTCACTGTCAGTGTTGTAATATGGCAAAGGCAGTTTCTCCTCTGCAATATTTCCAATTGATCCCTGACTGTTTCTCTAACCCTCTCTCTGTTAGGTGGCTCTACCCCTCAACCCGTGGTTCCTACACACAAAGACAAGAGTGGGGCCCCTCCGGTCAGGAGTATCTACGATGACCTCTCTAGTCCTGCTGTAGGGATGTCCCCTATGGGCGCACATAAACCGGTAAGTGTTAACAGAGTAGGTTCCATCCCTCTCCTGACCTGGGCGTGAACCCGGGACCTTACGCGCTACAACACTTTACACTCAGAGTAGTGTTCTACATTTTAGTCATTTTAGCAGACGCTCTTATCCAGAGCGACTTACAGTTAGTGCATACATTTTTCTTCTTTCTTCTGGATTCATCCCCAGACTCTTCAGTCCCTCTGGAGTTTTCCCAGAGTCTGTCGCTTTAGCCAGGGTAGTGTTTTATCCAATTTGCTAGTGATTCTACACCTGCTACATTAGCATCTCACCAGAAGCTTTTGATTTTGAGTAGTGTATCTGCATCAAGAGGACATGTAATAGGGGCGGCAGGTAGCCTAGTGGTTAAGAGCGTTGTGCCAGTAACCGAAAGGTCGCTGGTTCTAATCCCCGAGCCGACTAGGTGAAAAATCTGTCGATGTGCCCTTTAAATATAATAAGTAAAATACTGTAAGTCGCTCTGGATAAAAGCGTCTGCTAAATGACAAAAAATGTCAAATGTAATAATTTGGATGTAATCTTCTCTCAGCCCTTCTCAATGATGCACACCCCACTGTCTGGTTATATGGCAGTTACACCAGGAACAGGTGAGCTGTTTCGTTTTCTTCAAACTTGTTTGTACCAACTGGTCTTAGATTTACTAAGAGAGGGAATTCATAGGTACGTCCTAATGTCGTCTTCTGTTCAGCATCCAGTATATTTAGTCCTGCTACCATCGGACAGCAGGCGAAGTCAACAATGTCTCCAGCCCAAGTAGACCCTTTCTTCACTCAGGGAGATGCACTGTCTTCTGAAGACCGTCTAGATGATACTTGGATCACTGTGTTTGGGTAAGTTCCTGGTATTGCACCCCCTAATATCTACAGGTAACTGCCAAAATAAAGGAAACCCCAACATAAAGTGTCTTAAAGAGCGAACGCATCCGATCCCGCATGCGTTTCTCTGTTGCTCATTAAGAAAAACCAGATTTCAGTCTTGGGGGTGTGGTTCAATGTGGCAGTTACTAATGTTTGTCCCCCATGAGACACCATAGAAACAAAGCCAGTATTACTTCCTCAAAATAGTCAGAATCTAAGGTAACGCTGCGCTGATAGGCAGGTCTGTCTCACTGTCTAGTGTTCTGCGGTAGGATTGGATAGCGCACAATCATGCCTCTGTGTACCCCGTGTTAGTGAGCGTTGAACAAGATGATCCTATTTACACTTTGTGGTCAATTTTGACAGTAGAAGAAATGTTTCGGGCAAATATCGATGCCACATAGGCTGTTTTTATATAAAAATATGTTTATTGCCTTCAGTTGCGCTTTAATAGGGCGTTGGGCCACCACGAGCCAGAACAACTTCAATGAACCTTGGTATAGATTCTACAAGTATCTGGAACTCTATTGGAGGGATGTGACATCATTCTTCCATGAGAAATTCCTTCATTTGGTGTTTTGTTGATGGTGGTGGAAAACACTGTCTCAGGCGCAGCTCCAGAATCTCCCATAAGTGTTAAATTAGGTTGAGCTCTGGTGACTGAGACAGCCATGGCAAATGGTTTACATAGTTTTCATGCTCATCAAACCATTCAGTGACCACTCGTGCCCTGTGGATGGGGGCATTGTCATCCTATGGGGGCATAGCCATGGTAGCCAAAATAATGGCCTGCCCAGCATTTGTATACATGACCCTAAGCATGATGGGATGTTAATTGCTTAATCAACTCAGGAACTACACCTGTGTGGAAGCGAATGCTTTCAATATAATTTGTATCTCTCATTTACTCAAGTGTTTCCACTGTTTTAGCAGTTACCTGTAGCTTTAACTGTTGAAATAATGGGTGCGTTCTTTTTTAGCTCACCTGGATCCCCAGGTGGCCGGAGTTTTCACTGTAGGACCAGTCAAATTGTGCCCTGGTTCGACCTTGAACAGATGCACTGACTGTGTCTGATCTGTGGATCACAATGCTGGACCCCTAGAATGGACATATATTCTATAGTTGAGGTGAAAATGAACAGCTTCCTGAATGAATAATACTCTTTGTTTAAACAGGTTCCCTCCTGCCGCCGCATCTTATATTCTGTTGCAGTTTGCCCAGTATGGAAACATAATGAAACACGTGGTAAGAATATTTGCATCCTTTGAAAAGGAAATGTAAGTGTGTGCGTTCTGTTTTGTTACACTGCACTGTTCTCTTGTTCTAATAGATGTCCAACACTGGTAACTGGATGCACATTCAATATCAGTCTAAACTCCAAGCAAGAAAAGCACTAAGTAAAGATGGGAAGATGGCGAGGCTATAATGATTGGTGTTAAACCATGCATTGATAAGGTAAGTCGCTCTGGGTAAATTTTAAAATTAGGAACACAGTGATAATATAATTTGACGCTGTTTTAATAATTCAACTGAAAAGTCCAAACATTTAGAAATGGATGGGTGTATTTATCACTATGTAAACAACATATCTAATCATGAATGAAGATGATTTCTGTGTGTGTGTGTCTCTGTCTCTCAGAATGTGATGGAGAGCTCAGACCGAGGTGCTACCTCCTCCGGCTCAGTATTTACTCCTCCAGTCAGCTCAGACCGAGGTGCTACCTTCTCCGGCTCAGTATTTACTCCTCCAGTCAGCTCAGACCGAGGCGCTACCTCCTCCGGCTCAGTATTTACTCCTCCAGTCAGCTCAGACCGAGGTGCTACCTTCTCCGGCTCAGTATTTACTCCTCCGGTCAGCTCAGACCGAGGTGCTACGTTCTCCGGCTCAGTATTTACTCCTCCGGTCGGAAACGGAACCCCGGGCCACCATGTCTCTACACCTCGCCCCTCTATGAGGCCCCTCAGTGCAGCCTACCAGGCCTCCAGCAGTGATTACCAGGTAGGATCAGGGGGGTTTCACCATTCAATACTTTGCCAAAACCAACAGAAGTTGTGAGGCCATCAAAGATGAGAGGACTACAGGGCTATAGACCACAGGAGATACACCATAGAGGACTACAGGGTTATAGACCACAGGAGATACACCATAGAGGACTACAGGGCTATAGACTACAGGAGATACACCATAGAGGACTACAGGGTTATAGACCACAGCAGATACACCATAGAGGACTACAGGGTTATAGACCACAGGAGATACACCATAGAGGACTACAGGGCTATAGACCACAGGAGATACACCATAGAGGACTACAGGGCTATAGACCACAGGAGATACACCATAGAGGACTACAGGGCTATAGACCACAGGAGATACACCATAGAGGACTACAGGGCTATAGACCACAGGAGATACACCATAGAGGACTACAGGGTTATAGACCACAGGAGATACACCATAGAGGACTACAGGGCTATAGACTACAGGAGATACACCATAGAGGACTACAGGGTTATAGACCACAGTAGATACACCATAGAGGACTACAGGGCTATAGACCACAGGAGATACACCATAGAGGACTACAGGGCTATAGACCACTGTAGATACACCATATAGGACTACAGGGCTATAGACCACAGGAGATACACCATAGAGGACTACAGGGCTATAGACCACAGGAGATACACCATAGAGGACTACAGGGTTATAGACCACAGGAGATACACCATAGAGGACTACAGGGCTATAGACCACTGTAGATACACCATAGAGGACTACAGGGCTATAGACCACTGTAGATACACCATATAGGACTACAGGGCTATAGACCACAGGAGATACACCATAGAGGACTACAGGGCTATAGACCACAGGAGATACACCATAGAGGACTACAGTAGATACACCATAGAGGACTACAGGGCTATAGACCACAGGAGATACACCATAGAGGACTACAGGGTTATAGACCACTGTATATACACCATAGAGGACTACAGGGCTATAGACCACAGGAGATACACCATAGAGGACTACAGGGCTATAGACCACAGGAGATACACCATAGAGGACTACAGGAGATACACCATAGAGGACTATAGGGCTATAGACCACAGTAGATACACCATAGAGGACTACAGGGCTATAGACCACAGGAGATACACCATAGAGGACTACAGGCCTATAGACTACAGGATATACACCATAGAGGACTACAGGAGATACACCATAGAGGACTACAGGGCTATAGACTACAGGATATACACCATAGAGGACTACAGTAGATACACCATAGAGGTCTACAGGAGATACACCATAGAGGTCTACAGGAGATACACCATAGAGGTCTACAGGAGATACACCATAGAGGACTACAGGGCTATATGTCCACTAGAGGACAGCAAAGCGACTTCTCTAGATAAAAACATTCACAAACCTCAATCCGTACAATGCACTCAATGCATACTACATGATAGGAAATAGTTAAAACACGGTGAAGGATGTGAGTGAGTGCACAGATAGGTTGCCTTTTTAAATTTCAGTCTTAAAAGTGCCATTAAGTGTCACTGTCTCTATGGACATGGACCAACCATGCTATATGTTTGATTTCAGGTGGTGGCAGACGGACAGACCCCAAGGAAAGATGATAGTTTGGTTTCCAAAGCGATGGAGTACATGTTTGGCTGGTGAGATGGTGTCTCTTCCAATGGCTGAACGCTTCATGTTAAGACTGGATGACCAACAGCAGACTTCTGTCACCACCATATTGTGGAGTCAGTGTTTCCGTCCCAAATGGTACCCTGATAGCCCGATTTTGACCCTGGTCAAAAGTAATGCACCACATAGGGAATAGGGTGCCATTAGTGAAGCATCCGGCGTGTTACTGATTTTCTAACCAAGCCATGTGGATATCCTCGACCCTGTGACTACAGTGCTCTATGTGGTGATTGAGTGGGCAGGAGTTTTGACTAGACGGACACCGGATATTGTACGTTCGCGTCGAGTGAAGTGTTTTTGTGCAGACATCACGGTGCTGACCTGACAAACGCAGACCTACACAAAGTACCATATTTTCTTGGTTTTTCAAAATCTTATTTGCCACTTGTCCTCTTGAGGAGAATTGAAGGGCTTCTGTCATATGAGATGATGTTGATGTTTGAATGAATCACACACAATGAAGACATGGTTATTTCACAAATGTCCCTATTTCCTATGTAGTGTACTACTTTTGACCGGTGCCCATAAGGGTCAAAATTAGTGCAGTATGTAAGGAATAAGGTGCCGTTTGGGACACAAACGTGGCCTATCTACAGTACGGTATCTGAACTAAGCGATGCTTTGACAGTTTGAAATCAAGGTTGAACATCACTATCCTATGTTTGGTTAGAGTGAGATGTTGCAGGCTGTTGGTTTTTCTGCCTGGTTCGTTTAGTAAACAACGTTCAATATAACAGGATCAGAGTTAAGAATTGTGATTTTTTTTTATATAGAAATGGCTTTTGTGTGCTGTCAAACATTTACTCTTTTAAAAGATGATCTCACAAAGCTGTCAGTGTACCACATTCCTTTTATCCATCTACTGTCTCCACTCTCTACTATGGCTGCTGTCTCTACTCTGCTGTCTCTACTATGGCTGCTGTCTCTACTCTGCTGTCTCTACTATGGCTGCTGTCTCTACTCTGCTGTCTCTACTCTGCTGTCTCTACTCTGCTGTCTCTACTCTGCTGTCTCTACTCTGTTGTCTCTACTATGGCTGCTGTCTCTACTATGGCTGCTGTCTCTACTCTGCTGTCTCTACTCTGCTGTCTCTACTATGGCTGCTGTCTCTACTCTGCTGTCTCTACTCTGCTGTCTCTACTATGGCTGCTGTCTCTACTATGGCTGCTGTCTCTACTCTGCTGTCTCTACTATGGCTACTGTCTCTACTCTGCTGTCTCTACTCTGCTGTCTCTACTATGGCTGCTGTCTCTACTATGGCTGCTGTCTCTACTCTGCTGTCTCTACTATGGCTGCTGTCTCTACTCTGCTGTCTCTACTCTGCTGTCTCTACTATGGCTGCTGTCTCTACTATGGCTGCTGTCTCTACTCTGCTGTCTCTACTATGGCTGCTGTCTCTACTCTGCTGTCTCTACTATGGCTACTGTCTCTACTCTGCTGTCTCTACTCTGCTGTCTCTACTATGGCTACTGTCTCTACTCTGCTGTCTCTACTCTGCTGTCTCTACTCTGCTGTCTCTACTCTGCTGTCTCTACTATGGCTACTGTCTCTACTCTGCTGTCTCTACTCTGCTGTCTCTACTCTGCTGTCTCTACTATGGCTACTGTCTCTACTCTGCTGTCTCTACTCTGCTGTCTCTACTCTGCTGTCTCTACTCTGCTGTCTCTACTCTGCTGTCTCTACTCTGCTGTCTCTACTATGGCTACTGTCTCTACTCTGCTGTCTCTACTCTGCTGTCTCTACTCTGCTGTCTCTACTCTGCTGTCTCTACTCTGCTGTCTCTACTCTGCTGTCTCTACTCTGCTGTCTCTACTATGGCTGCTGTCTCTACTATGGCTGCTGTCTCTACTCTGCTGTCTCTACTATGGCTACTGTCTCTACTCTGCTGTCTCTACTCTGCTGTCTCTACTATGGCTGCTGTCTCTACTATGGCTGCTGTCTCTACTCTGCTGTCTCTACTATGGCTACTGTCTCTACTCTGCTGTCTCTACTCTGCTGTCTCTACTATGGCTACTGTCTCTACTCTGCTGTCTCTACTCTGCTGTCTCTACTATGGCTGCTGTCTCTACTCTGCTGTCTCTACTATGGCTACTGTCTCTACTCTGCTGTCTCTACTCTGCTGTCTCTACTATGGCTGCTGTCTCTACTCTGCTGTCTCTACTCTGCTGTCTCTACTCTGCTGTCTCTACTATGGCTGCTGTCTCTACTATGGCTGCTGTCTCTACTCTGCTGTCTCTACTCTGCTGTCTCTACTCTGCTGTCTCTACTCTGCTGTCTCCACTCTGCTGTCTCTACTCTGCTGTCTCTACTATGGCTGCTGTCTCTACTCTGCTGTCTCCACTCTGCTGTCTCTACTCTGCTGTCTCTACTCTGCTGTCTCTACTCTGCTGTCTCTACTCTGCTGTCTCTACTATGGCTACTGTCTCTACTATGGCTGCTGTCTCTACTATGGCTGCTGTCTCTACTCTGCTGTCTCTACTATGGCTGCTGTCTCTACTCTGCTGTCTCTACTCTGCTGTCTCTACTCTGCTGTCTCTACTCTGCTGTCTCTACTCTGCTGTCTCTACTCTGGCTGCTGTCTCTACTATGGCTGCTGTCTCTACTCTGCTGTCTCTACTATGGCTGCTGTCTCTACTCTGCTGTCTCTACTCTGCTGTCTCTACTCTACTGTCTCTACTCTGCTGTCTCTACTCTGCTGTCTCTACTCTGCTGTCTCTACTCTGCTGTCTCTACTCTGCTGTCTCTACTATGGCTGCTGTCTCTACTCTGCTGTCTCTACTCTGCTGTCTCTACTCTGCTGTCTCTACTCTGCTGTCTCTACTCTGCTGTCTACTCTGCTGTCTCTACTCTGCTGTCTCTACTCTACTGTCTCCACTCTCTACTATGGCTGCTGTCTCTACTATGGCTGCTGTCTCTACTCTGCTGTCTCTACTCTGCTGTCTCTACTCTGCTGTCTCTACTCTGGCTGCTGTCTCTACTATGGCTGCTGTCTCTACTCTGCTGTCTCTACTATGGCTGCTGTCTCTACTCTGCTGTCTCCACTCTGCTGTCTCTACTCTGCTGTCTCTACTCTGCTGTCTCCACTCTGCTGTCTCTACTCTGCTGTCTCTACTCTGCTGTCTACTCTGCTGTCTCTACTCTGCTGTCTCTACTCTACTGTCTCCACTCTCTACTATGGCTGCTGTCTCTACTATGGCTGCTGTCTCTACTATGGCTGCTGTCTCTACTCTGCTGTCTCCACTCTGCTGTCTCTACTCTGCTGTCTCCACTCTGCTGTCTCTACTCTGCTGTCTCTACTCTGCTGTCTCTACTCTGCTGTCTCTACTCTGTCTCTACTCTGCTGTCTACTCTGCTGTCTCTACTCTGCTGTCTCTACTCTACTGTCTCCACTCTCTACTATGGCTGCTGTCTCTACTATGGCTGCTGTCTCTACTATGGCTGCTGTCTCTACTATGGCTGCTGTCTCTACTGTCACTTGCGTACTCTTTTTGGTAAATAAATGGTAGTTTTACGTGCCACGATGAACTAAACTCAGCAAAAAAAGAAACGTCCTCTCACTGTCAACTGCGTTTATTTTCAGCAAACCTAACGTGTAAATATTTGTATGAACATAACAAGATTCAACAACTGAGACATAAACTGAACAAGTTCCACAGACATGTGACTATCAGAAATTGAATAATGTGTCCCTGAACAAAGAAGGGGGTCAAAATCAAAAGTAACAGTCAGTATCTGGTGTGGCCACCAGCTGCATTAAGTACTGCAGTGCATCTCCTCCTCATGGACTGCACCAGATTTGCCAGTTCTTGCTGTGAGATGTTACCTCACTCTTCCACCAAGGCACCTGCAAGTTCCCGGACATTTCTGGGGGGAATGGCCCTACCCCTCACCCTCCGATTCATCAGGTCCCAGACGTGCTCAATGGGATTGAGATCCGGACTCTTTGCTGGCCATGGCAGAACACTGACATTACTGTCTTGCAGGAAATCACGCACAGAACGAGCAGTATGGCTGGTGGCATTGTCATGCTGGAGGGTCATGTCAGGATGAGCCTGCAGGAAGGGTACCACATGAGGGAGGAGGATGTCTTCCCTGTAACGCACAGCGTTGAGATTGTTGTCATTGCAGGCAATCTCAGTCCGATGATGCACGTTCACGCAGATGAGCAGGGACCCTGGGCATCTTTCTTTTGGTGTTTTTCAGAGTCAGTAGAAAGGCCTCTTTAGTGTCCTAAGTTTTCATAACTGTGACCTTAATTGCCTACCGTCTGTAAGCTGTTAGTGTCTTAACGACCGTTCCACAGGTGCATGTTCATTAATTGTTTATGGTTCATTGAACAAGCACGGGGAAACAGTGTTTAAACCCTTTACAATGAAGATCTGTGAAGTTATTTGGAATTTTACGAATTATCTTTGAAAGACCTGAAAAAGGGACGTTTCTTTTTTTGCTGAGTTTATATAAATGCACACAGTGTTTACTTGTTAATTGACTTTTACCATGAAGACTTCTGATTCCGCTCCAGTGTTAGTCTGTGAACGCTCATGACATATGTAGTTAGTTAGTATCCCAGTCAGAGGTCTAAGTAAGAGTGCTTTATATTTGAGAATCCATCTGGTGCCTATTCAGAGTAAATATGCAGGCAAGTCGAGAGGTGGAAGGTTATGCAGGCGAGTCTAGAGGTGGAAGGTTATGCAGGCGAGTCTAGAGGTGGAAGGTTATGCAGGCGAGTCTAGAGGTGGAAGGTTATGCAGGCGAGTCTAGAGGTGGAAGGTTATGCAGGCGAGTCGAGAGGTGGAAGGTTATGCAGGCGAGTCGAGAGGTGGAAGGTTATGCAGGCGAGTCTAGAGGTGGAAGGTTATGGAGGCGAGTCTAGAGGTGGAAGGTTATGCAGGCGAGTCGAGAGGTGGAAGGTTATGCAGGCGAGTCTAGAGGTGGAAGGTTATGCAGGCGAGTCTAGAGGTGGAAGGTTATGCAGGCGAGTCTAGAGGTGGAAGGTTATGCAGGCGAGTCGAGAGGTGGAAGGTTATGCAGGCGAGTCTAGAGGTGGAAGGTTATGCAGGCGAGTCTAGAGGTGGAAGGTTATGCAGGCGAGTCTAGAGGTGGAAGGTTATGCAGGCGAGTCGAGAGGTGGAAGGTTATGCAGGCGAGTCGAGAGGTGGAAGGTT